CTGCTGCAGGAATGTTATATTCTAGCTGAAGGTTTTCAGACTAGAAGCCTCATTGGAAAAAGTGCCAGATAAGCGACTGATAAAGCATTTAGTAATATGACAGTTTGGGTTTTTTTGAGTAGTTGATGCTTCTCATTTGGCTTCTGTTCGGATTTGGAACAGAACTCCAAACTTCAACATTGTCCACAAAAGCCTGGGCAGCCTGGCACTCCATTTGACAAGCTGTCACATTGCTTAAAAGCACTGAGGTCTCCACCAGGCTATGGCGTGAGCTGCTGGGCAGTGTAAGGGATGGCAGCAACCTTGAAGGAAGACAAGTTTTCTAGTGGCAGTCTGCTTGAACTGGTAAAATTTAGGAAGGCACAGACAAATTTTTCAGAGAAAATATGCAAAAAAATTAATTCCATCACTACAAAATGTTTAAATTTAGAAAGCATCAGATTTTTGCCAAAGAAAGGATTTCAGTTTAATCTTTTCCAAGTAGCTCTCATAGACACTACATTTTCTGAATAATGTGAATAATAGTTTTCTTTTACAAAACCTGTTCAGCTTAAATATGAATAACTAAAGTTGGGAGCTCTGTAATGGCATTACATTACTGTCATCTCCAGGAGTTAATTACAATGAGCAGTCCCACCCACTTTTAGAAGCAGATAGACAGGAGGAGAATGGAAGCCTTCGGAGCTGGGAGAAATGAAGTACAGTAAGCCAGAGGAGAAGAATGAATGCTGAAATGTGCACTTGTGGGTTAAACACGGCTGGGAGTTGTGAGAACAGAGATATCAGAACCCTGCCCTGGGAGTTAAAATGGTTTACAGTTATTTAAAATGAGGTAAACAATAAAGGGCAGGCTAGCTGCGCTGATAGGTGTGCTTACTGCTAAGCTACCTGGCAGATGCAGCCTGCTCCAGCATTTGGAAACGAGTTGCTTGGGCTCTGTAAGCACTTGACCAAAGAGAAAGTGCTGATATGGTGGATGATAACTTGAAGCAGCCTATAAAAAGAAATCAGATCGAGAGAAATACAGGGAAGAACGATACAGAGGTTAAGAGCCATAGTGAGACATAAGCTCTTACTTTCCTCTTTCACTTCTCCTCCCCCTTCTCCCAGCTTCTGTGGCTGTGTCAATAGCAATGGGTGGGTTGGAGCAAATGCCTTCAAAAGGCAGCCCCCTCCTCCCTGCTCTGTTCACAGAGCTTGGGCAGAGAGCAGGAGAAACCCCTTGCAGCTTCTTGGGGGACTTGGAAAGGAGTGTACCACACCTGCTGTGGTCACGCTGGTTTGTTACATCACTGGTAGAATCCCAAATTCCTTATGGTACATATCAAACTGGGAGGAAAGCAGAAGCCTGTGGCAGTCACTTACCACAATCACTTGCTTGTTTGCTTGTTTTAGCTTTTACCACTCTCTTCGATTACAAATGCCAATTAGAAAATCTCTAAAATTAGTTTCTCTGCATTTTGAAGCTGGCTGTAAACGGAGCTGCTATATGTTTTTTTAAATCCTTTAAGTTTACATAAAACTTGCAGAGACGGCAATCTCTGGGGCTTGTTTCTGCCTGCCAGAATTATGAAATAAATACTTTGTCATAAAAAAGCCATTCACTGGATATTAAATTACTCATGGGTACCAGTTAGTGAAACAGAGTGCCAGTAACTGAGCTCCAGTTAGGTAAGAATCTGTGGAACAAGAAAATGCTGAAAGGGTAAACCTCTGTATTAACAAATGCAAGAAAACTACCCAATATTGACATTTTCCTTAAGTGAGTCAGACCGAACTCCAAATGTGAAAGAAAAAGGCCAAACTCAGACTTTCAAAGTAGCATTGGAATTGCCAGTTGTTTTAAATGAAAGGATAAGATAGAAAAAAGAAAACGCGTCTCAGAGTTACAGTTGCTAGACTTTTTGCACTCTGTGAAAGTGAAACATAGTCATTGACAGGAAGACGTATGTCCTGTTCTCCTCTTGCATCATTTCAGCAGCATAACTAAAAGGGATGGTTGTGTGCCGGCTCCTTTTTCTGTGCACCAAAGAAAGACAAAATTGTTTATTCTCAGCACCAAAGGAAATCAAAACGAGAAGCCGTATATTTACTGGGAGACTGAGACATGAGAACTGATGATGCTCTTTTTTCCTGATGCTTCCTGTCATAATTATTTCCATTTTCTTTCATGAAAGTATTGCGTGGTGGAGGGTTATGCATGGAGAAGTGCAGTAACCCGAAGTGCCCTGGCTCTCTCATGCTTGCAGACTTTCTGAAATGCCTTGTGGCTAAAAGTGCCACTGACAATCACATTTCCAAACGATTTCGTCTCCATGCCAGTGATATGGAGAGGAGAAAGCTGTGTTTAAAAAATTATCTAGCCAGTCCCAAGTTAGCCTTTTGAAAGTATCCATCCTGCAGTAGCTGTTTCTTAAATTCAGAGTTGTTGATGCAGTTTCTGTCCTGCGGTGGCTGCTGTAACGTGGATTTCCAGAAGTAATATAACTGGAGGAACTGAAAAGTGCAATTTTGTACAAGTTGCTCATGCTTCTTGATTATAACAATGATGTCCTATGTTACTTTGAAGAGACATCAGAGAATATTGGAGTGAAAAAAAGCAGGAAAAGTGTATGAATTTGGACTTTGTTAAGGTGCAAATAACCAGACTCTGGTTTTGCATGTATTTTCTTAAAATCAAGCTGAGCTCTGATCATAATAATACAAGGCCAGGTCTTCTGCCACAGGCAACAGTGCTGTACAACCCTTGTGCCTTCTTCAGATCTGTTACGGTTTGCCTTACTTTTGGTTCTCTAGGTGCATCGGCTACCTGTGCAGGACTGCAACAAATATTCAGACTGTGAGAAGTGTACTCAGGCGAGGGATCCATACTGCGGCTGGTGCGTGAGAGAGGGCAGGTGAGTGCTGCTGGTATTTTCTCCAGTGCAGGCAGTGGAATAGGTCAAATTTTGACACGTGCTGTGGGTTATTGCTCGGTGTAGCAATCCTAGCTCTTTGTACTCATCCTTACACTCCTGATAGTGATGTAATTTTATCACACAAACGTTGATATCAATCTTCCATGCACACAAATAAGTCCCCGTTGACTTCTGCAAATGTGGTTTGTTTGGGAAAAGATACACTTTTCTGCTGGTACTGAAAATCACTGTACTTCTTCTAACTGCATGCTTTATCGCTCTCTGAACTGTAAAGTCGAATGTTCTACCAGAAATTAAGAGTGCTTCCTATTTAAAATTCAGAAAATATAGCATATATTTTAAGTAGAGCAGGAAAGTATGAAAAAAGAACGTAAAAGAAAAAACTGTTCATGTCTGAAATAAAGTATATAGCTCAAATGCTGGTTTTATATAAATGTCATCTATCAAGATGTGTAGCTACACTGAACCTTCACCTAACTGTAGGAGAGCATTTGGCTGACTATCTGCAGAGGTTAACTGAATTAATATTCAAACAGATGTAAACTAGGACAGCACTGAACAGCTCTGGAATGTCTCTTTTTTGCACTCTGCATTGATTGGAGTGGGGAGAGGGAAGAGCTGTCCTGCAGCTCTCTTTTTGACTACTAAGTTAATTAACCCCTTGGCATGAGTGGTTGGGAATTCGTGATTCTAAGTACTTGGTGTTGGAACAAAGGGGCTATTTAATTATAGTATGCAGATGAATTTCAGGCTTCTAGCTTCCTGTCTGAAAATGTGAACTATCACATTAAGTTACCTATCAGCCTGATGTGTAGCGTAATATGGAGCACTGCAGAGAAACTCATGCAGTACATGTGGGTTTATGTAATATACTGTAACTCTTCCAGCCTGGGTTTCGTTTGCTGTGGATGAAACCTGGGGATTTGGAATGTACACCTCAAACTCCTCCTGGGCTGCTGGGAGTTGAAGGCCGTGTCATATATCATACAAAAGGCAATTTTCTCTAGATTTCCCTTCAGGTTTCTGATATGACCACTGACCTCAATATCTCAAAATATTAATGGTCTTTGAGAACAGGCAAACACAAATTTTTGCATTTGCTAGTATTTATTTCCAATGGGGAGAAAAAAAAGTGTTTAATTTCTAATATTTTTCTCATCTGCAGCAAGTTCTGTCTCATGGTCACGTGCAGCACTTAATAGTGTGTTTAGGGGTATATTTTATGAATGCAGACTTTGAATGTAAATGATTTATTTAAGGGTAGGGTTGACAGAACTGTGCAGCAACTGCACTGTGTTGAAGCCCCTGATGAGTTAATAATCTTCTGCTACAGCAGCCAGAGATCCTACAGCATTTTCTCCTAAACTTTGCACTGAATGGAAAGAATACGCGTGAGACTGTCCCCACACACACTTCAACAAGCTTTTGTAGCCACATATGCAGCTTCTGCACTGCAGCATCTCTTATTTCTGTCCTTCCTGTGCTTGAGCTGGGAAAATCTCCCAGTTTTTTTGTTGAGGCTGCACAACCGCTATTGTCTTCCCGTAATGGTAGCAGTGCCCTCGCAGAGAGAGGTCTTAAATAGTGGCAGGAGTTAATGAAAACATTCACTATGAAAGTAACATTTCTAGTGATACCGTTTCACAAGAGCTCTCTGCAAGCCTGTGTCCCCAGCAATACTTCTCTATTGCATTTTACTCTCATAAGTGGAGTGTTATTACTGGCAACACATAGGTGTCTGCCACCTGACCTGCAGAAAAAACAGGCTGTGCCCACTCATTCAGGACTTTGTTATATATTACCATGAGGGTTAATCTGCCTGCTTTCAGATCTTCAGGCAGTGGCTCCATTACCTGGTGGCTCTAGTGCTAAATATTACTGCCTCTGTATAGATTTGGGTTGTCTAATCCAAAGTAGTGTCCAAAATAGTATAGGTATGTTGCCCAACTTGTTTTTGAGATCTCAAACCATCGATACTTATTCCACTACTTATTCTATTAAATATTCTCTAACAGCAACCTGAATAGTTAATATTAAAGCAAATTCCCAGTCATCTTGTGTTGTAATTTCAGGTTCTAATCCTGAAATTGTTGCATAGTTCAGAGAAAGCAGAGTCCAGCTATAATTTTGCTTTACTTTGTTTTTTTTCCTGTTTGTCAGGTGCACAAAGAAGACAGACTGTGGAACAGCTGATGAGGAGAACCACTGGCTGTGGAGTCCAAGTGGCACATGCATGACTATCATTAGTGCAGATCCTCTAAATATGAGTCGCAGGGCCCCTGCTAAGGTATGTCAAGAAAATATCCCTACATGTTCTTGAAGCTCGTTGATGTGTCAACCAGGAAGATAAATATCTGCATTTCTTTATGCACAGCAGAGACTAGGGATAGGATAGTGTTTTGTGTATCTCGGTTGCTGGCATTTCTCACAGTACTCTTTCTTGCCTGCTGTTTTTGCAGGTTGCAGTTCATGTTTTCTTCTGAGAAATGCTCCTTTTGACCTTCTCTGTAAACTAAAATGGTGCACTAGTATGGATGATAAAGCACTTACATTTATATGAATATTATGAAAGTGTTGCACAATGCTGTATAACCCATAAAAAGTAATTGGTAGGGGAGATTTCATGCTGCCCTTTCAGCTTATTTGAGCATAAACTTAAGCAAGCAGTGAAGCCATAAGCTGTTGCTTTAAAATCAGCAGTGGATTTGCCTACACAGCGAAGTTTGCCTGGGTACATGGAGAAGGTAAATTCAGCATGCAAAACGACTCTGTGGCAACAAAACTGAGAATTCAGAGTGTGATCAGGGTGTCATAGCTTGCTCTAACTCCAAATGGAGCATGTCAGTGCAGACTGAGGGCTTCCTAGGGGCGCTTAACAAGCAGTCAGTAAAATGACTTTTAATCCCTCTAATCAGAAAGAAAGAGACTTTCATTCAAGTCACTTTAATCTCATTCCTAAATGATGTAAACAGCATTGTGTTAAGGCCATTTCTATGTTGAATAAAAATGTTAGTAGAGTGTAACCAGTCCACTTAAAATCCACACCTTTTCTGAGTTTGGATCTTGTCAACTTATATCAGCATCTGAGGCCAAAATACCTAAAACCCAAAACAAAACCCAGCTTCAAATGAGCATTTACATGCTGCCTGTAACATCACTAATGTCACTGTCTCCTCATGATTCCCTTAATCACCAAAAAAACTTGCATCTCATAACATAGTGGGCTGGTTTCAGTGAGAAAGGGATGATTGTCAATTCTACTGGCAATACAAAATGGAAAAAGTTAAACTGAATAATTAACATACCTGAAGCATTAAATCAAGGACAGCATCCAAAATGTCATTTAATTTTTCTCCTCTTTCCTTGCTAAGTTCTCCCATTTTATTTTGCTGTTTCCAACATGTACTGTGTATTGATAATTTCCTTGGGGTGGTTAAGATCTCACCATCACTCAGAAATCCTTTTTCAGCAGCAATGATAGATCTCAGTGGGTTTCTTGCGTGTACATTGAGTCTTGAGGAAGCCACTTCTTTGTTCAGCCCTTTTGAACTCCAGCTTTTCCAGCCCAGCCACCCTTGCTTTCATTATTCACTAGTAACACCTAAGGTTAATGTAATTTTAATTTTGTCAGGCATTAACCACTCTGTTTACTGGTGCTAAACTGGATGCTGAGAACAAGAATAAAAAGCTTTGGGTGTGTCTGTACAGACATTTTTGTTCTAATGTAATGCATTGACAGGACAAGAGGTTTTTATAAAAGTGTAGTTCAACATAGTCCCAGCCTGGAAAAATTGGTAGGGGTACAAAAAAAAAAGATTAGCAAACAGGAGAAATAAAAATTGAAAAGGAGAACCATCTTCTGTGATATCACAGAATATCACTGCTAGCCAAAAAAAAAAAAAAAAGGAGCAGTTTAAATTCTATGACCATAAATCTTACTGGGTTTGGTTCATTTCTTTCAAATATTTTACCCTTTTTACATTTTATTTCCAGGTGGAACTGACTGTAAGTCCATTGCCAACTTTAACTGAGAGTGACAAGGTTTTTTGTACATTTGGTGAAACAACCCATGATGCTCAATTAAAGGAAGGGGTTATTATCTGTGATCCGCCTGATATAATTCCTCCAACACCAAAAGGTCAAGGTAAAAGCATATTGCTTCCCTCCATGTATAACAAGAGGACAGAACACAGCCTGCTGCTTCTAGTGGGATGCTCTTATATGAGCTGCATACAAGGTTTTTTTCCTCTTCCAATCGCTTTCCCCAAATAGTCTATTGCTGAACTTTGTCTATTCCAACATTTTTAAAAAAAAAGGTTTGCTTAAACTTTTTCCATTGCTATATATACAAGCTGTAGCATTCCCAATGTTTCTACCAAGAACCTGAAACTGGAGCTTGCCAGAGGCATAGACATGGAGTTAGAAAGCTTCTATTCTGTATCCCAAACAAAAAAAACCCAGCTACTGTAATCTTACCCTAATCAGTCTGAGTTTTGGGGCCAGAAGAGCCACATAGGCATTTCAGATGTGAAGTTTTTCATCTTTGATGTCTTAGTTTTACTCTAGTCAGCTGTAGTTCAGTGGCTTGTTTTCTGTCTGTGTCACAAGGCCATCCTTTCTCTCATAAGGCCTTCTGCCTCTTCTACTATGTGCCCTTCAGCTTCTGCAATAGTAAGTCCAGTGGAAAAATCATATAATTAAAGTCTGTATCATTGTTCTGAACCACTGATTATATGCTTAAGGTCTGTTGCAAACCATAATTCGTGTGCCATTTCCTAGATAGTGCTTTATTCATGCGTTCATGTTCATATATCTTGGTGCATAGACACATGGAATAAAACTGGTTACACAGCACTGCTGGTTATGTTTCAAGTTTAAAAAACAGAAACAAACAAACAAACAAAAAAACCCAAAACCAGGTGCTCTTGCAGCTTGCAGAGGTCCCCCTGAGGATAACCCTTCAATATGTATCAGAAAAGCTGTGAACTGTCAAACTGGTACTTGGTAGCACTTTTTAAGACAGCTTTCAATTCTCTTAAGGCCGAAACAGGTCAAAATGGGAAATGGTTCAAAAGGGAAACATGGCACCCATTTTTAAAAAGGGTAGAAAGAAAGACCCTGAGAACTATTGACCTCTCAGCATCACCTCTGTGCCTGGGAAGATCATGGAACAGATCCTCCTAGAAGCTATGCTAAGGCACATGGAGGACAGGGAGGTGATTCGAGGCAGCCAGCATGACTTCACCAAGGGCAAGTCCTGCCTGATCAACCTAGTGTTCTTCTATGACTGGAAGAGCTATGGATGTCATCTCTCTGGCCTTCTGTGAGGCCTTTCACACGGTCCCCCACAACATCCTTCTCTCTAAACTGGAGAGATATGCATTTGATGAGTGGACTGTTCCATGGGTAAGGAAGTGGTTGGATGGTCGCATCCAGAGGGTAGTGGTCAACGGCTCAATGTCCAAATGGAGATCAGTAACAGGTGGTGTCCCTGAGGGGTGTGTATTGGGACCAGTGCTGTTTAATGTCTTCATCAATGACATAGACGGAGAGATCAAGAGCACCCTCAGCAATTCTACAGACAACACCAAGCTGAGTGGTGCGGCTGACACGCCTGAGGGGTGGGATGCCATCCAGAGGGACCTGGACAAGCTTGACAAGTGGGCCTGTGTGGATTTCCTGAGGTTCAACAAGGCCAAGTGCAAGGTCCTGCACCTGGGTCAGGGCAATCCCCAGTATCAGTGTAGGGTGGGGGATGCAGGGATTGAGAGCAGCCCTGC